GTGGGGAATGTGAAATAGCGTGGAAGAGAGTGGAAAGCGTTTGAAGAGGGGTCTTTTCTGATCAATTTCCGCTCTAAATAAAGCCTAATGTTAGTTTTCCAATAGGTGCATCCAAAAATTCTTTAAAAAACGTCCAAATTTGTTGAATCTTCTAGAAACATGCCTTGCACTTAGATTGGCGTCGTCGGCACCATTGGCCCGTGAACTCTCTGTTAAATGGTGTCGTCGGCGCTGAGGATAGTTCGACCTCTATTCTGTAGATCTGCGTCGTCGGTGTCCATCTTGGCGCCGTCGGCGCTGAGTATTTCTTCATAAACGTCATTTTGACTCCAAAATTCCATCATTTTTGCTTTTAAGTCCTAAAAATCAACCTGCAATAAAAAATGAAAAGCACACTCATTTAAAGAGCAATATCACAAAAAAATGTGTATAAAATATAGGTCTAAATATGCATATATTTTTGGTGTATCAAAATCCCCCAAACTTAAATGTTACTTGTCCTCAAGTAACTCATTTACTACATAAAAATATGACTCATGATAGAGTTTTAACTTCTAGATTTCCATATTTTAGTCCACTGAATACAATAGCATAACTTAAAAAAAATGTAAAATAACTCCTGTTAATACTAAAGGTATAAGAAATAAGAATATCTAGCAATCAAGTCTAAGATTTTTGATTATCTATTCTTTTCAAGGCAAATTTCAAATTGTCATATTAAAGCCACTTAGAATATCAATATGAAAAAAAACTTCATGAAAATTTACTAGTAAGCATGCTAATACTTAAATATAAGTTTAGAGAATGTAGCTTAGCTTTCTTCTTTAAGTTGATTCAAGTGAAATCAATTTTTAATTAGGCATCTCCTCAAGCTTCTCTTCACATCTTTTTCTTTTTTCTCTCTTTTTTTTTCAGGATCATTTTCAATCTTTTTTCTTTTCTTTTCTTTTTTATGTGAGGATTACTATATCTGGATAGCTTTTAATAATTTTGAACTTCATTATCCTCTTCTTAAGATTAAAAACTTTTCACATTCCTTCACTTTATATATTTATATTAGCTTTAAAGATTTTTCATAAAGTTTTATTTTTTTCTTCATACATGAATCTCTAAGATTTTTTAACACTTCAAACAGACAAATTCCTTTACTAATAATAAAAAAACATAGTCTTATTCTCTTATACCAAATATCTTCTTATACCAAATATCTTAATA